GGAGAAGATACCCTGCCAACCCTCCCATCCTCCGTAGAAATGCTCTCCGCCCTCGACTACGTCGACCCCACAAAGGAACCGTCAACTCAACACACTCGGGACCTCTGCATCTGTGCTTTCTTCTGGCTTCTCCGTCCGGCCGAGTACCTCGACACAAGTAACCCTGAGGCCCGAACCCAGGCCTTTCTCCTTGAGAGACATCACCTTCACCATCGCTGGTCGCCTCCAAGTCACCGCTGACAAGTTCTCTTTGAATGACGTGTTTGACCCCAGTCGCCTCACGCGGCTTCGCTGACATTCACTGACCAAAAGAACGCCGTCAAAGGCGAGTCCTTGGGCCATCGTGCTACCTCTGACCCATGGCTCTGTCCTGTCAAATCCCTGCCCGTCTCGTCCGGCACATCCGCATCTCCTCTCACGCTCAAGGCGACGGCGGCCGAAATCGCCGCTACTCCCTCTACAAACACTATAACTCCGTCCACAAGAAATGGTACCACGTCAAACCCAGTTCATCACCGATGCCCTTCGAGTGCCGCAAAAGCGGCTCGAACGGACTACCGGAATCTCCCACAAGAAGGTTTCCGCTCGCTCCCTCCGTCCGGCGGCGCCACTGCTCTCCTCTGCGCCCATGTTGACTCGGATCCCATCCGCCTTCTCGGTCGATGTAAGTCACGACGCCATGGCTGCGCTACCTTCGAATCCGGCCGCCACCATCACGCACACTACTCCCAAAAATGCTGGCCCATGGTGCCGTACACCTTCCAGCGGGATCCTACGACAAGTTCTCCCGCCTGCTCAGGCGCTGCTACTATCGCAGAGATCCTCCTTCACGCGGACTCTACGAGGACTAACTCCCTTAGTCCAAATTCTCCAGAGAGACTTGCCTCCTCTCGGTCTCTCCAACCCTTTCCCCCCCGCTACGCTCCCCACCCTGTTCTGCCTTGGCTATTTGGGTTGGCGAATGTCGCACAATCACGAGGGACTCACATCCCGCGGACTGCCTCATTCGTGCTTTGGTTCCCGCTCGGGATTTAGCAATCACGAGCGGAACCCCTGGGTGGCGGAGACGTTCGGCCAGTAAATGGCCGAGTCTCTCCACCACCCTACTACTACTATACATGCTAGTCGTGGCTGTGCTGCTCAGGCGAGCGCCGCTTGTGGCGCTCGTTGTCGAGCAGCCGCACGCAAAGACAACAAACGTCCTGATCCTTATCTCCACGCTGACCTGGCTTGGAAACCTGAACCCTCATATGAATGACTCGACTCACAGTCAGACTGGTACCATCACAAAATCGAATCTACTCCCACACTTCCTCACACACAACAAGTACATTCTCTACACTCCTCAGGTCATCACTGTGTTCCTGAATTGGATACCTCACATACATGTTGATTGCCACTGCCTTTTCGCAAGATCACCTCTAAGGCAATAGCACCCCACGAAGACCGCTCACAGATGCAACCTTGAATGAACACAACACGCAGACCGGTCCAACTCTCTCCTTCAGCCATTGAACAGTCGATCGCAAGAGGTTGTCTCCTTCTCTGCTCACAATTCTTCTTTCAGCCGAGCTGCAAGCTAGAACTAAAATAGATTAACCCACCTCTCCCTCCTGGGTTGGCCGAATGTCGCACAATCACGCGGGACTCACATCCGCGGGACTGCCTCATTCGTGCCTTGGTTCCCGCTCGGGATTCTAGCAATCACGAGCGGCACCCCTGGGTTGCGGAGACGGTCGGCGCAGTAAATGGCCGAGTCTCTCCACCACCCTATCCTACTACTCTACTCAACTAGTCGTGCTGTGCTGCGCTAGGCGAGCGCCGCTTGTCGGCGCTCGTGTATGGATGATGGAGATTCTGGCTGGCTAGAGACAAATTTCACGTGGATGGATCTTTGGATCTTTTTACTCGTGAACAGGACTCGAGTGACAGCAATTGCTCCGAAGCCAACATCCTCAAAACTACTGTTGCAATATATATCTCCATCGCCGTGTCGTCCAATTACTCCACCACCACTATTGCGACTGGCACTGCCAATTCCGTTCCTCCCGTTGGTAGTAACATGTCTTGTGATGGTATTGGTACTGGCGCTACTGGTGCTGGTGCTACCAATATCAGTGCTAACAATAAGAAACAGAAGATGTCTCCTCCCTTCGATTCTCTTCTGTTTGCTGACGATGCAATTTGGATTGGCCAGATTCTATCATTTGTTGGTGTTGGACATTAACATTTTGTAGGAGCTGCCAACAAGAAGATGAATCAACTTTACAAAGAGTACTGCAAAATTGAACTAGAGAAAAATCCAAGAATGGTAAAAGATGACCCTCTAGAGTATTCTCCAAGTCGCTCTGCAGGAAGCACTGATACTCATTACAACGAAACATTCTGTAACCAGCTAGGTGCAGAATACTGGCTCAGGGAAAATTCTAGCAATAAGAGGCCTCATCTTTATGATGTTTGTACCGCAATTGCGACAGTTGGATTTCTTACTGTCATGAAATGGGCGCAACGAAAAGGATTCCCATGGGATGAGTGGACATGTGCCTATGCTGCTGGAAATGGAAACTTGGAAATGGTCCAATGGCTGCATACAAACGGTTGTCCATGGGATGAACGGACGTGTGAATGTGCTGCTGATAATGGACATTTGGAAATTCTTAAGTGGGCTTGTAAAAATGGTTGTCCATGGACGATACAATTGGTGTGTCCACGAGCTGCTCGACGCGGACATTTGAAAATTTTAAAGTGGGCACATGGAAATGGTAGTCCATGGGATGCATTGACATGTGCCTATGCTGCTGAAGATGGACATTTGGAAATTCTGAAATGGGCTCGTGAAAACGGTTGTCGGTGGAATGAACGAACATGTGCTGGAGCTGCAAAAAATGGACATTTGGAAATTTTGAAGTGGGCTCGACAAAATGGTTGTCCATGGGATGAATGGACGTGCCATGGTACTGCTAAAGGTGGCCATTTGGAAACTTTGAAGTGGGCTCGTGAAAATTTTTGCCCATGGTGTGAAGCAACATGTTCCTCTGCTGCTCGACACGGACATTTGGAAGTTTTAAAGTGGGCTCATGGAAATGGTTGTCCATGGGATGACTTGACATGTACCTATGCTGCTGCTGAAGAAGGACATCTTGAAATTCTAAAGTGGGTTTTGAAGTGGGCTCGTGAAAACGACTGTCCATGGGATGAACAGACATATGAAGCTGCCTGCGAGGACAACCACAGCCAAGTGATCCAGTGGCTACGTGACAATGGCTGCCCTATGTATCATGACGAAGGACACTACTAGTAACATCATTTAGTATGGTAAGGTTAGGAATTGAATCAAGAGTAGACAATGCTCAGGTTGGTTAGTGTGTTCTGGTTCCATAAGAATTTTTTAATGTATGTCCACAACACTGCTTCTACGTACGCCTTCTTTTAAAATAAGAATCAGCAAAAACTTTTGGATCATTCAACCTTCGGAGAAATGGACCGCACCTACACTTGCCTCTACTGGTACCTACCTGTATGCGACATGAACGACATTTCCCTGTCCTAACTTGGAGTTCTGAAGGATGCAAACTAGATGAGCAGCTGCTGACAAGATATGTGATTTCAGGGTTTCTGCTTGGCCTATTCATGCTGGCTGGGAGCAGCACGCCCAGAGTAGGCGAAGCATGCAGGAAAGCAAGAGCACAGGCAGCAATTCATTTACGATATCCGGGTGATTGTGGCACACATAGCTTGGTGCGGCAGACTATTTGGATGTATCCGACACCCTTCGCCTTCTTCTGCGCTTGTGTTGCTTGGGATTTGATGTGGTGGTGGTGCCACAAAAGATAGGCCCGGTCTCGCTTGTGACTCTCATCAGACGCTTTTCGAGACACCTTGCCGCCGTTTCGTCCAGGGCTATGTGATCGTTGCTAAGAGGACAGGATTGTCTACATGCTCCCATCAAATGGTACCGGAGACACCGTTGAGCAATGAAGAAACCAAAGCCTGGATCTGTTGCCAGTCTATGCCTTGCCTTTTCTATTTGGTGGTTTCGTCCAAACGCAATCTTTACGAAATTGCTGGGTGTGGTGTTTTTGACGACTTCGTCACCATTGTACTTTCCCGCAGCGGCTTGCGTAGTTTTGATTTCATTGGATCTGTTGTTGGTGCTTCTGAGGGATTCGAGAGGCTCTACCGGTAGTGATGAGTCAGCAAAGGTCGAGCAGGCATCAATCTTTTCCAGAAGAGCCGCCAAGTTGTGCGGAGCCTCTTTTCGTTTGGCAACGGTTTCAGCCTGCTTCCTTGACGCCTTGTGTTTCTTCCGTGGGAGGGGCTCGTTCGACGCCAATCTTGCCGCTGCTGTGTTTTGATGAGCAGCAGAGCCAGTTCCAACTTTTCTGTAGATGGAAGGACCCATTCCTTTCCGTTTCGACCCTTCCTTGTCAGCATGATTATTGTTAACGTGTGCTCCCGGATCAGAGATTGGCTTCGCTCGTTTGTTCCTCGAGGCTTCGTATCTTCTAGTATCACTGCGGTTTGTCTCTTGGATTCTGGGTGGAACATTCTCGAAGGATTCGTGAGTGTTTCGTGGCAGATTGGGATCAACTGCTGGGGCAGCAGGCGGATTGTGTTGTTCCTCTTCGATACGATCCTTGTCTCCGTCATCTGAAGTGAATGAGTTGTCCCCTGCGTTTTCGATAGTGCAAATCATTCCATCATGACTATTTGAGCCTTCGGACATTTCCATCTCTGGCTCCTCTCGGTGAACGTCCTGTACAGCTGCCGTGATTGGTGGCACTGTGGTCGCCTCTGTGCTTTTACGGGATGCTCGAAGATTTTCTGACGCATCGCTACTGTTCTGAGTTTCTGCAGCTTTTCGCTTCTCTCCAGCTCTCTGGCCAGGGTTATTATTTAAAACACGGCTGGTTGTTGCTCTTGGCTTGGGAGGGGATTCGGAAGCGCGATATGTGAGTTGTTCCGGTAAGACTCCGTGGTACACTCTTCCGCCGTCTGAAGAAAGGGATTGCACTGTATATCGCAATCTCATCGTAGCATCTCTTTCTCCTCTCGCCTCTGTTTGAATAGCTGGATAGTGGCTCGAAGCAATCACGAATGCTTTCACAAGACGAGCTTCATCTGCTTCTCCGTTTCTGTGCCACAGCCACACAGGACAATCCATGGCAAACTGAAGCTGGTCTTCTGTAATAGACAGTAGATTGCTGCTTCTTGGGTTATCGTTATCATCGTGGGCTGTCCATGGCAACGTCTGCAGTACTTTGACTTTGTAGATGGTGTCTCGATTGCCTTTGTCGGACCAATCGATTCCAACCTTTCGAACCTTCCCTACCAGGATCTTATGCACACGGAGTGTCGCATTTCCATTTTCCAACATTTGATCCGTATGATAGTAGACAACCTGAACGCTTGAACCAGGTGGATACTTGGTCTTGGCACTCTTTTTAAGAGACAATTGTTGAAACTCTTCATCTTCGTCATCCGAGTCGTCGTTCGCTCCAAGCGATGACTCGTCATCTTCGTCCTTGATCAACACTATTGTCTTTTGCGAATCGGCTACGTGGTCGGGCATATTTCATCAGCTCTTTCACCCTTTACTGTTGCCAACTTTAGAGGTTCCTCTCTCACACACAACACACTCACTCTGGGCTCTCCGTGTACCCAAACGGAAGCAAAGCAGAGAGAGGAAGCTACCGTACCGTACAGTACAGCACGAGGAACGAAGGCTGGTTCAAAAAGAGAAAAAGGAAGTTCGAAAATTTGAATTTAACGGTCCTGTGACAGCTCTACTGGCTAAAAACAGAAGCTTAGGCCGGTCCAGCTCTCGGGCCGTCGCCACTTGGGCATTCTTTGGCCTTTTGCCAAAGACCTCACACCGGTACACTAATGTGATGAGCACACAATTAATTGTGTCTTGGTCTTCGCTGTCAGCTTCTACTAGCTAGCTAGCTAGTCTACAACCTTAAGTCATCATTCTCCAAGATGCAATTCAAAGAGGTCCACTGGACTTCAGGACCGGCTGTACTGACCAAAGCAACCTAACTTCTGGTGCGGTCAGAGCTATTTCAACAGAGTCAATTCTAGAATGATCGACTAGCCCGGCAAATTTTCGCACATCGAGTACCAGTTGGTACTCGATTGGGTCAGTTATTATAACAGCACTTTGCTTTTATTATCAGCACAATACTCAAACATGAAACCACATCATTGCAGCTCGCCCATCAGTCTGTACCGTTGCAACATTTTCAAAAGTGTGGCACCTTGCTCAGGAATTGTCATCCGGTTCGACTCCCAACCCAACGCCACCACCATTTCCTGTGTTATTCACAATAGGACTGACACTCTTGCACACAGGACACAGGACAAATTCAGCATCTGCAATGCAGCTGACATGCATGGTGCACACCATACAGCTAAGATCAATCATGAAGCCACATTCCATGGCATGAAGTGTCTCATCTTTGCCACGCAATGTGCGAAACACACCAGGTTCAATCTCAACCTTCAGGGGATTGCTAGCAGGCGGAGGGGGGTGGGAAGGATGAGGAACCTGGTACTGCTGCTGCATCTGATGGTGTGGCGGAGTAGGATAATGGGATTGAAAGGACTGATGCATCTGATGATGGGGAGGAGGAGGTGGAGGAGGAGCATGATACGGTTGTTGCATAATATGATGGTTCGGAGGCGGAGCGGGCTGATATTGATGTTGCTGCTGCATTTGATACGGCTGAGGTTGCTCAAAATTGCTGGGGTGGGAATTGGGATGGGACCATGTCTGAGTGCGCTGGTATGCGGGCGCTTCGGGGATTTGATCCATCTGCCTCTCATCATGATAGTGGCTCAGGTGTCCAATGCTTGGGCGGCTGTTGCCCCCGGTGCTTACAGGAATGGAAGCTCCCGTAAAATCTGTGATATCGGACACAACGCTCATTGCGGAGATGGATCTAATGGCATGTGAATTGTGAGACATATTATCACTGGCGTTTACATAGCCAGACCTGTCGAGACCAGATTGGCGCGAAGTGTCCCGCATGCCGGCAGGGGACCTGTCCCGGAGTTGTTCTGTATTCGAGGGGCCAAGCCTATACGGGTCATCGTGGTTGTAATCATTCTGTGTTTCTCTGCAGTACTTTGAACTTGGCGCTTGGTGATGATGATGGCCATGGTCATGGTGGTGCGGGCAGGTTGGCTCGTGAAATGGTGGTTGCTCTTCTTCATCCCAACTACCCCTGCGCTGGGGACGTTTGGGAGGATCACAGTGGCATGAACCTTGGAGCGACTCGCGGGTGCTGCTCTTGCTGCTGGATTTACTGGCTTTGGAGGTCCTCCTTGAAGCATTTTGCGTGTCATCATAGGATGGAGCCACAGTCTCCTCGTTCACCCAAAATGTATGCATTTGACCTTTGCAAACAAATAGAAAAGCAAGAGGTTCGTTGTGGTTGTTCAGATGAGTTTCGCAGACACGACAGAAGCAAAGAGTGAATGAAAGTTTCAATTACCTTTGCCTTTCACGTCAATGAGACCTCTGGAATGGATTGGCAAGCCAGGGCACTGCTGTTCGAGCAATCTTGCGGAATCCATGGAGCAATGGATGCGACCTCTGCAATCGATTGGAGGAAAGGCTGATGAGTTCGACTGGTTAACGATGAATGTTGAGCACATCAATGCCTTATAACTTACGGTTTCCCATTGGACTCCATACGAGAAGCTGTGTTCACTGTAATCAAAAAGAGGAATACCAAAAATTGCTAATGAGTAAATCGTGGAGTTGGATGTTATAGCCACCCCAACGAGAGAATGCGTACCCGTGTCTCTGTAGAGTCGAATGACAAAAGGTGAACGTGAGTATACAACCGCATTGATCGAACTTTTGCTTCCAAGGGTGCTTTCATTCACTTACCCAAATAAACAATATCTCGGATTACGTGTGCCAACAACGTCAGCCACAACAGCGCCTGAGTGAAATCCAATACGAAGGCTGACACAACCCCTATCGGCATCATCTCTGTCAATCAGCACGGTACCAGCAGCAGCAACGGCTTCGATTGCAAACTCGGCAATTCTCTTGGCGTGGTCTTCTTCTTGATCCTTGACCACTGCAGAGGAATATTGAAAAGATGGGGGTTTGCGATACAAAAATGAATCATAACGGAGAGGTGAGCAGCGTTGGTTCTTGTCCTGCTCGACAACAAACAAAAAGGAAACGTACAATTGGCTACAGCCATGAAGGCATCCCCAATAGTTTCACTGTTGTACGTTAGGAAGAAAGGTGATTAGATGGACATATCCAGCAACACTTTTTGAACACACACAAAACACACAAAACACACAGGCAAGTACTGTGTTCTTACACTTTGTAGATATCATGTTTGATGGACAGCCTATCCAGCTTTTTGTAGAGTCTATGTAGCATGCCAGCCACCTTGGCAGGAGGGAGGGTAGAGGAAATGTCCGTGAAACCTGAAACAAAAGCAGCAGCAGCAAAAGGACGTGAGTTTTTGGACCACACCAACCATCCATCCGTAAGAAAGAGACGACATTGAAATTGGCTTACCAACAATATCGGAAAAGAAAATAGTGACACAATCTTTGTGGGTTGCCTTTACTCTCTTGCCATCTTTGAGGGCTTGTGCCACGTGCTTGGGAAAGATATCGGCGAGAGACACTCGCCTTCCATGATCCGCGAGACTGCCTCGTTTGGATTTCCGCACCCCAGCACTCCTACTGTCGTGGCTGGATTCTATGCTTTCGTACGTCGAAGCCTCACTTTGTTCCACCGAAGTTCCACCATGATTCGAATCCAGCATCGAGGAGGCTCCACCGCCACCATGATTGGAATCCACAGGCAAAGAGTTGTTTCTGGAATCCTGCTCGTCGTGGCTATGATCGAGAATGGAGTTTCTGCTGGGATGTCGCATGGGAACCGACACGTTGGTATTTTTGCGCACGGCCTTGTTGTTTTCGATACTACTAGTTCCATAGTCCTCGCCGTTTTGTCCATGAAAGGAATCCTTGCGCAAGCCAGGTTGTGGCAAGCTATCGTAGGATCCATAAGACGATCTTGTGCATGCCGCCGTCGTCGTTGGGTCCGCCGAGGAGGCTGCCATGTTGTTATTGTTGCTTCCATACACCGCCGATGCTTGTCGCGCGGTCGGTTGTTGGGGGGGACTATCGTAGGATTTTCGACTGTCAGCACCACCACCACCACTAGTAGGCTGCTCTACCGGTAGCAAATGATGAGGATGTTCCTCCTCCAAACTGGCGTCGTAAGAAGACTCGCATTCGGACGACGGCGACGACAACTCTCGATCGGGTCGTTTGGGACTCCTGGGAGCTTGCGAGGCGGCCTGATACCGGCGTTGCTCGGCCTTCTTTTTGCGTGCTTTGGATAAGCGTCGTGACGAATCGCGACGTTCTTCTCGTGTTTGTCCGTAACTGCTCATACTGGAATTGCTGGCGACACTACTGGCCGCACTGCTCAATATGGATGTTCCCGAATTATTTCGTCCCACTGGTTTTCGTTGAAAACTGGCCGGAGACGATGCACGACCACGAGGACTGTGGTTGTTATTTTGAGTATCGTCGTCGCTCAAAATACCGCCGGAATAGGAATAATCATCGTCGTCTCCTTGACTTTTGGAGCGTCGCGCAATGGGTGGCCGATTGGGTCGTTGAATGCGAGGCCGTGGTTGTTGTTGGGGAGACCATCGGTCGTAGGTGCCAGTGCTGTTGCGAGTGTCACCACCATCGGCATCGCTGTTGTTAGTGTTGCTAAAACGACTCGTAGGTCGTCTCCCAGCTCGAGGAGCTCGATCCCTCGATTCCGAGTCGATGGTATCTCCACTCCAAGATTGAGCTCTGGAAATCTTTTTCTGGGGGGAACGACGATGTTCGGGATTTGCTGCGGATCTCCTGGAAGCATTGCTGTGCGCCGAATAATTATCAAATTCTTCTGGTATACGACTCTTGTTGTTGTTGTTGTTGTTATCTAGATAATGACCAGTCACAGCATCGCCTTTGGGAGGGGTATCCCCAGGAGGGACATTGGTGTGGTTAATGCCTCCAAGGGTAGCAGCATGGGTAGCAGCCAAATCTCCTGGTGTTGGAAAGCAGGATTGAGATAACGTACTGCAGTCCATCATGCTATGAGGACCATTTGCATCCGCTGCGATCCAAACGCCGTCGGTGTGGACATCGTCGTGTTCTGCTTGCCGAGATACCATCATGGTTGTCATCAATACTAGTCTAGGTACTCGCAGTGCGTATGTCAACAATTATTTGCAAGCAGCACTCGGAGTTTTGTTGCTTTTAATAAGACGCTTTAGCAGGCGGGTGCTGGGGTACGTGGTAGGGAGGGTATCAAGAGAGTGAAAACAGTGTGGCTCAACAGCACTTCACTCTTTTTGGATCCCTCGAAAGAATAAAAAGCGAATGCAAACTTCAAACTTCTGGTGGCTCTGTTGCCCTGCCAGAGGCAGATGCCTTCAGTTCACAGTCCAAAATCCATGCACGCACGCAACCTTGTCTGGTTCCTCTTCTTGTTCCAGTAACATCCAGTATGAAATAAGACATGGATCCCATCTTCCGCCAAATACTGTTGATGGAGTACTCACTATGCATACTCAAGTAGCTACTCGTACCGGTACCAAGTTCACGTGAAATTCGTCATTACGATTGTCGAAAGGAGCTCGAAAGGCATAACAAAGACGGAAGTTAAAAGAAGAAGAAGTTCAGTTACTCAGTTAGTTGCTCACTTCTGGCTTTCTTTCACTTGCCACAATATTCCCAATTGATAATTAATTGGCGGTGTTTTGATTTAACATTCTCTTATTGCTTCGGCACAGCGAAGGTTGGTTGCCGGACCAAAGTATTAAGATCTGATCCCGCCACCTGCAAGATCACGGCCCAGCCACGCGCACGGAAGTTCAAAAGTTAAGCTGAGAGCAATGAGCTCTCACAGTACAAGCTACAGTACGGTTCCGGTACAAGTACCTGGTACAGTCCTGGTACCGTAGGCCATCCGCACGGTACCGTACCGTAGCAGGTGCAAGTACGTTTAGTTCTCTACATTCATGTACAATGTCATGTAGCATAGCAATAGCAGGCTTGCTGGGGGAAATCATAGAAAGCTCTGTCGCAACCAAAAAACAAATAATAGGAACGGCAACCCCGTCTGCCACAGGCCACAGGCCACAGCAACTCAGTGGCTACTCTACTAGCTAGCTAGAGTAGTATCGCGTTAGAGATGGTGAGTGGTGAGCCTGCGCTGGCATGTGCCAATTATGTTGCTTTTCTACTAAAGACACACAGCTTCTTCTCTGCCTGTGAGAGGTTGTTATTTCCTTCGCTTCATTAAAATTTCTGTTGTTGTTGCAATAATGGTGTCATTGGATGGTTGGTGCCGAGCATTGAGGGAGCAGCATGAATTTGACTTGCAACTCTACCAATCCAGTCACCAAGAGTGGAAGAATCGGTGGCTCCACAGAGTTTTGATACCTGTGGAGTGCTTCTCGGCGTTTCTGTTTATTACGGTGATCTGCCAGTCTACGTTGCCTCTCTCATACCTACAACTCCATGTCGTCTTGGTGCTTGGGGTAGGTTTCCACATGGGGTTGGTATCACTGGTGATTGGAAAAAGTCCATGGTCCGGGTTGTCCTCTTTTGGCTTCATGGTGGCGGCACCTTGGATTTCGTGTATTCTGATACAGCCAAGAGCTAATAAGAAAGACGATAAAAGGCATAAAATGACTGTCGCTATAGTTAGTTTGGGAATGTGGTTCATTGCCTCGTCGCTACAGGTGGCTGTGGGTCATTGGCTATGGGAACGCAACGAGCCAGATGTGCTTAGCAGTGATCAAGTATCCTGGCTTTCCCTGACTCATTCGGTCCAAATTGCCTGGACTAGCTAGCTAGTAGACTAGCCAAAATTCGTTACGTTTTCACATGGGTCAGGGTAGGTACTGTAGCTAATATAATCAGTGGCGTTGTCAATCCATCCATTGTTACGATTTCGATTTCGTGGGGCGTGGCACGCCATGGGATCAGCTGTAGGTATCGTACCTTGTAGCGTACAGTAGCTAGCAGTTCGATTGCCTCGTGCTCGGAGGCAATTGGGACTAGATGCCTTCCGACCTTGTCCAGCATGCCTCGACAGTGGGTAAATGACGCACATATTATTCACACTTTCCACTCTTTCCACTTTGCAAAGAATCGAATTTCAAGGACGGAAAAACTATAATTCTCACCGATGCAACCATGCTTGACAAGTGTGGCTGGGATATGGGGCTAGTCCCTTGCGACGATTCTTTCAACTTCGTGCATGTGCACCTTATCGTTTTGACTATGAATGGTGGCAATTTTGTGGACTTCCTGAATTGCATTTGCTCTTTCGATTTATTAGATCTATTTATTTGTTCTACCGGTAGCTAGCTGACGGGCTGCTGACTAGCTCTTGCTGTAATCGTGCGTCAAGCCCTTCCTTCTTTCTCTCCTTCCTGGCCAGTGTCGTGTTTGCAACAAGGACGCATCAAGGGGAGCTTGCATCTGCGTCCATGTGGCAGCATCCTTTCTTTCCGGCCTATGCGACTACACGCCGTCGCTTCGAATTGTCGGCTGTGGCTGGCGGTGAGCTCCGTCGCGCTTCTTTGTCACGATCGGAATATCGCTTTCCGGTTGCCTTCTTGCAGTAGATGGGCCCACTTTGCGAAATGACGGGGCGTAGCGCTTCTTCGAGGGCCTGGGCTTCTTCTCGACCGAGAATGCCGTGATCGGAACTGCGGTTGCAATTTGACCAACAAGCTCCGTTAAGGTGCCATTGTAAGCATCTAGGTACGTACCGGTAGCCCCCTCGAAGATGACGGAGCTGTGTGAGTGCGGCGTGAATACGATGCCGGCCTGCAGAGGTGATGTGCTCGAAGCGTGGTACAGGGCCGTTGTTGTAGACTCGTACCGATACTGGTACTGTAGTAGCTGGCCCCTCCTCAAGTTGCCCCACCTCAAGTTCCTGACTTGCCCTGTGTAGTTTATAAGGTGCTTCTTCAATTCTGCTCCTGGGCGCAGATAGTGAAGCAAAAGTTTGGAGATTGGGTTTCTCTAGCGTACGCTTCTTCCTTGGAACACGAACTTGAAGAGGACTGCTCTCCTGGGACTCATGTGCCTTTGGACTCTCTTTGTTTTCCAAAGAGGTAGGCGAGACCACTTCCGTCGGATCTACGGAGCTGCAACTGGATGCAGGGTCTTCCGTACTACGGCCGCCAGAGCTGGAGACATTCTCGATGCCAGACTCCAAATCCTTGTCATTGGAGGTCGAATTTCCGTTGGAAAAGTTCTCATCAGCCGTTTGTTCATTGCATTCATGTTCCTGCTCGTGGATGCCACAGGACGTGGCGTCATCAGCTGAGGCCAGAACAGCACTGTCGTTGGAGCTCGAATGAATCCGATCGTTGTCGGGTTTTCCTGGTAGAATCTGGTGCCACTTTGACGACGAGGTTTCCTCTTCCCCTAGCAAGGAGAAATGCTTCTTAGTGGTAACCCCAGTACTTTTGGATGAAGCGTTCTCGGTTGCACTGATCACCCAAGCTTGGCTGCTTGAAATTGATGACTCATTCCCCGATGAAACCTCGTCTGCTTTTGGCTTAGACTCGTCATCTTTTTGCTCGTGATTGTCACATAGAGGAGTGCATGCGGAGGCATCGTCGACAACATTCATTGCAGCGACGTTGCTGGACATGCCACCCTTGTTCTCCTTTTCATTCAAGTATTCTTGCATCGGTTTGTCTCGGTTGGTGCTGAATGAGGAAGACTCAGGAGGTAAGAGAGTCGTACCACCGTAGTTCTGAGTGCCCTTGGCAACATCTTGCGGGGTGGTTTTGTCAGCATCATTTGTCGGGCGGATTGAGTTGGGTGAATGTACGGGCGGATAAGAAGGCTTCAACATAGTTTTTGGCACTTGAGCCTCGCAGAGATGTCGATAACTGATGTTGCCGGGTTGAACACCATGGTAGATCTTGAAGTCTCCATTCAATGATTGCACCGAGAAAACTGGCATTGCCTTTCCATCGCCTTTCCAGGAGGGCAAGAGCTCTGAAGAGAGGATTCGGCCTTGCTTTTGATCTGCCTCCTCCGCCCCATGCATCCACACAGGTTCTCCAATTGCAATCATCAAATACTTCTCCTTGACAACAGAAATACTGCTGCTGCAACTGAACGTGGAGGACTGAAAACCATCATTGAAGACCTTCAATTTGTAGACTGTTTCACGGCTTCCTGCCTCGGACCAGTCAATACCAACTTTCTGAACTTGGCCTCGGAGCACACGAGATGCCAGGAGGGCATTTTCTTCATATACGTCCCACTGGGCAATACACCCTGGGGGATATTTGGTTCTTGCGGCTTTCTTTGGCGGCAACTCAAGAAAATCCTCGTCTTCTTCATCGTTGCATTCTTCATCTCTACTTTCGTCTTGAACGTCATGCACATCGGGTTCTTCTTTCACGATCATATTGGTGGTGTCGCAAACGTATTCTATTGGCGTCGTTCCTGATTTTGTGAGGGGTTGTATTGATCTACATCTCTTGAGAATGATCTGGACCAAGCATGATGAAGCAAACTTTTTGAAAACGAAGTCATCGAATTCTCTCAAAGAGGGTGAACGAAAATGGAATGAACCTCAATGGAATGAATCGAATCGAATCGAATCGAATCGATTGAACGAATCGAATCTTCAATCGAACAGAACGTACGGAAGCTTCAGTTTTAAAGCCAGCAGTACCGGTTGACAGGATAATAGTTATAGAGGGTAGTTATTGGACCACACGGGAAGGGTCAGCAACCTCCGAAGCACAGCGTTTTGTTGTGATGGGAAGAAGCAATAGAGTGGGTCGAAGCAGTATGAAGATTCGATTCAATCCTTCAATGCTGAGAGATTGCTTCTCACTTTCTCAAAACCTACTGCAGCCAAAAACACCATTTCCTCAGAATATTCAGTATCAACCATCATCTTTAGCTGCCGTGCTGGACCTGCAGCCAAGAACACCCAAACCCTGCTTTGCATTGACCCGACCACAACCACAGAGTTTCATTGAATCAAGGTCCATTTGACAATCCACGAGCGCTACACCCCAAAATAACAACTGAAAACGGAAACAAACTGGTCTCGGCCAGTCCGCTTGTTACAACAACCAAACAACTTTGGAAGCCCATTACAAATTTTACTGGGTTCACAATACTCGTCGTACATGGATCCCAGTACAGAGTCCAGCTTCCCAACTGGGATACAATTAATAATATCCTCTCTGACGCTTGTTTGGAGGCAGTTGCCACTCACTGTCGTAAGACTCGTCGCGGCTTGTGGTAGGCTTGCAAAAAATTGGCCCTGATGCACTGGTCACTGTCTCCAGTGCAGCCTCTAGATTCAGAGCCTCCTCCGTGCTAAGAGGTTCATGATCATCCTTACGATTGCAATTTGGATAGCACTTTCCATACAGGTGCCACGCCAAGCATCTTGGATAGAGGAAGGCTTTCAAGTGAGGCTGTACTCTTTGGTCCCATTTCATCATCCTTACTGCCTCTTTAAAGTTGTGGAATCTTCCAAAGTGAATGCGCTGAAATTTAGGCTGCGTACTGTTCCAAGTTGGCCAATCTCGTTTCTCGGCATAACCGGTGGCCCATGTTTGGCCAGGCGAAAATGCGTTGCATTGGTCGTTTGGTAAAGGTTGACCGTTGTATCTTTGGGGGTCCGAATTTGCTGCTAAGATTTGTTGCGCGCCACCAGAAGGCTTTGCTTCCTCTGACGTAGCTTGGGATCTGTTGGCGTCTCCGAATTGATTTTGTGTGGAATCCGAAAGACCTGCAGTCGCATCCCCCAGCAGGCTAGTCCTAGGGTTCAATGTTTTGCGTGGGATCGAAGTTGTTCGTTCCTGCAACCGTGCAGGTGGCGAAGAACCAGAACGCTCCTTCTCTGTTGGTGTGGAAGCAGCCTCCAGAATTGTGTCAACCATACTGAGTAATGATTTGCTTTTCGTACTGGTTACCTGCTGCCCAGAAGCGGAATCCGTGCTGACCCTTCTGGTGGCTCGAACATGTTCGCTTTGAGACCTTGCACTGGAAGCGATGTCATCATTGTTTTTGGCTGTAACCCTTGATGCCGTCATGGAGTCATGCTGCTGATTGTCTGATGTGGTATCATTGGTTGTGTCATTAGCTAATGTGGCGTCGGAGACTGGGTTGTCAGGTGAGCCTGTGTTGGGCATTCTCAACTTTTGCTGGTCGTGATGTGCCGTACGCAGTGAGGTGTTTGCATCCTCCAAAGGATGTGACTCGGTTGGAACGGAAGAATTACCATCAACAGTGATCGAATTGGCCTGTTCCTGAATGTTATCGTCCCCCACCAAATCGACAATAGTTGCCTTCTCAGTAGTCTTGTTGGCATCCTTGACGATGGCTGGTTGATGAAGTTTCTTTGGCTGTTGCTCTGATCGGAGTCTTGGCTTGGGTGGCATCTCCGAGAACCGAAAGGCAAGTTGACTCGGGTCGACACCATTATAAACCATACAACAGTTGGCAAGTGACTGGACAGAGTATCGCAACATGTTGTGTATGTGATCAGCACATGTACTACTACTGGTAGCACCTGGGCAGATATCAGTAGACTCTCCCGCTGCAACTGCCGGCAAGTGCTGCGATGCAACCACAACGCCCTTTTCGTACTTTCCTTCTTGCCACAGCCAGACCAATGCTCCAATAGAGAACTGTACGGACTGCTCTCTAGCCACAGTTGATGACAACGAATAGGAACAAATGGAGGTTGAAAGAACAGAAGAAGAGCTCGATACGCTTGAATCAAAGGTACGCATCACATTCACTTTGTACAAGGTTTCTCCTCGACTCCTTCCTTCTTCTGCTGACCAGTTGATGCCAACCTCTGCGACATGGCCGAATAAGACCTTGGTCACCCTAGGTGCTCCTTTCCCCCTAAAGTTTTGATCCGGATGGTCTCCAGAGAGTAAGGTTTCCCCATAGCAACAGATCTGCACGGGGCTGCCTGGAGGGAACTTAACCTTGAACGCCTGCTTCTTGGGAAGCGGCAAAAAACAATCTTCATCGTCGTCTGAATCCTCAGATTCTTCATCATGGTCTGTCAATTCCTTCTTGACGACGACCTGCGAAGCTCCATCTGCGCCATTCCCATCGTTCCTCTTTACACTGGTAGTCATCTCTCCCGTCCACATTGGGAACTAAAAATTCAGCAATCCATGCGGTTCGCACCTGCAAGTAACTTCCCAACTTTAAAACTGCGATAGTTCAATTTTTAATGCTCGCTAAAAAGTTTGTTTCAAAAGATCCGACAGTCGTGGATCCGTACCGGTACCGTACCGGTTCATACATGCATCTAGTAAATCTTGGAGTCACTCCTGCGGAGGGAACCGATGTTCCTTGGGTTATCGAGACTGGCGTAGGATGGGAGCTACCAGGTAGCTAGTAGGATAGGCCCAAAGATGGCTGCTAGCTGTGCAGCTTGGCACAACATGAAGCAGTAAGCTCACTGGAAGGACATTCCATTGTACCGGTTCGGTACCCGTACCTAGCAGTGAATATGGGCATTCGCAAGGGTGAAAATGGCAGGAAGACCATCTAACCAAGAAGCTTAGGCATTATTGCAGCAACAAGAAGTCAACAAGCAAGAAATTTCTCCAATTAAGGCAGCAACCAGGTTCAGACTCAGAACAAAACTAGACTACTTGGAAAAAATGAATGGTTCGTCTTTTCTACTTCTTGTTCCTACGGCACGATTGATTATGCAAACCCCAACACTGATTGGCACCCTTGGTATCGCCTTTCATCTTTTTACTTCTCTCACCATTTTGGCCCACCCTTGTGCTGACTGAAATCCATGCCAGCCAAAGTGTTCATTTCACGCCGGCAGGAAAAGACTTCCTGATGGTCACGTCCGCAGAGAACTATATGAGGGTAGATCTTGGGATAGTACTGCATTGGTCTCTTCACTGGAACAATCCTGATGCTGTTGTACTTAGCCAACAGTGAAGTCATCCATTGTTCGACAATCCCAAAGTCAAAGAAACCTCGGCCTCCACAGTCAAAGTTGGCCTTGAGAAGTGTCACATAGCACCGATCATTTTCAGACTGATCCTGGCCATGAGTGCCTTCCATATCTGAAAAGGGATTGGGCACTTTGAATATCCCAAACTGCCCGTCACGGTGCTTGTTCATTGATGCAGTGGTGAATAGGAGGTATGCTCGCAAAGTTGGATGCACTGCTTTGAACAGCAGATGGTCAATGGCGAAACGGCACTGAAACAGCTTTTGCAACGAAGGACCCTTCAACTGAGCTGCAAGCTTTGTTTTTTCCCCTTCGGAGCACTTCACCCCCACACTCTCCCCTTCCAGGTCAATGGAGCAATCATAAGTGTTACAGAGTTCTTTGCCTGTCAAAGCCTCCTCAGAGTTGCCCATTATGGCCGATACCATCAGTTCAGCTCCAAAGTAGGCTGGAAGTTTGAATGCCAATGCCGCATTGCTGTCCTTCCATTCGGTTTTGTCAGTAGGTTCAGCATGTAGTACCAGAGGTAGCATTTTCCCCTGGCTTGTCGATGAACCATAATTCCCGTGAAAACCCACTCCATTATTATTGCTTCCACCGAATAAGCGATCAACTTCGGCAGCTGTTCTGCAAATGATCGGTCCATTTGGACTCATTGCAGGCCACAGATCTCTTTCCAATTTTCGTGCCCTGACGGGTGTCAATGGTTTGTGGTCCGATGCCCGCGGGCAATGGGTACGACAGGATTTGGCGACATGCCAGTAAAGGCAATGGTTTATGTGGCCATGGCGCCCTTCTTTGATTATCTTGAGGGCCTTGTTGAAATCGTGTCTACTCCGGCTCCTACCCGCGACAATCCACTGAAATGCTGGCGGGTGCATATTTTCGACCTTAGTATCTCCCTTGGCATCGGTGTCTGTGTTTGCGGCAGGCTTCACAACTTCAGCACGTTCCTCATATCGAGGAATTTGAGCCAACAATTGTTTCACGCTTTCGTTTATACTTCCCCCCTCAGCAGCTCCTTCCGTCTGAACAATTTCTTTGGCTGCTTCGTTGGTTGTAGTCACCGGCGACGTCTTGTTCTGAGAGGTTTGATCGCAGTCTTTGCCGGCTTTCGGGCTTTCCCCATTTGACTTTTTTCGTGGCATCCTCAACGTAATTCGAAGACGTGAAGTGGAAGGAGACGTGTCAGACTTGACTTCCTCCCTGACTCTGACAACCTTTTCTCCCAACGTCTTTGCTGTAGCAATGGTTTGTGCGGCAGGCCGGTAGGTCAGCCTCCCGGGCTCAATTCCATGGTGGATTTTGCTGATCCCTTCCAGTGTTTGAACGGAATAGAAGACGCTGGGAACAAGCTCTTTCTCCTGTTGATTATTCGGACGCGACGTTGTCAAAATGGGGGCCAAAGATTCACAGCCAATGACCACTGCAGCTTGATGGGCATTGTTGTTGTCCAGTGAAGCCAGAAACACTGGAGTCCCCAAAGCAAAACAAAGGTCTTCTTCATATGCCAAGATAAAGACTGGGTCTTGTGGATTTTCGTTAAGTTCGCAGTCTGTGACGGCAATTTGGTACAATCGGCCGTCGTCTTCTGGAGCATCCATGGCCGTTCCGACTCCTACCACTTTGCCGCGTACCACTTTACTAGCCAACAATGCTCGTGGATTGGTGTCGGACAATTTCCCTTCAAAGAGGCAGCAAACAACATCACAGCCTGGAGAGTACTTGGAATCTTCCTGAAGACTGGCTGGAAGCGGCTTGAAGAACCCTTGCGGCGGATTATTGTTGCTACAGCTATCGTTGTTGATAGTCGAGAGCTGCTCAGGCACTGCAGTGCCAATGGGAGCGACGGAGAGGACCATCGGCAAAGCGAAAGGATGTAGTCTAGTCCTACCTTATAGAGACGCCAACTGCGACACTAATGCAACTACGATTACAACACCTTGGCGCTTGGAAGTGGACATTGCGAAATGGCAATGGGAGTTCGGCCGCCGTCTGGCCTTCGTACCGAATGAGGCCAGATGCGATTTCGTTCTTCACACCAATGCTGTCGGGGAGACCTCACGAATGCTCGTGACACCGTTGCTCTCGACTCTTCCAACGGAGCGGTGGGGCAACGCAACACGTCGCACCGGGAGTGGCAAGCCCAAAGCCAAAGAGGTATGAGGATCAATGACTTACCCGACGCCACTGTATCCTTTGACGAAGGCAAGCTGCTTGGTGCAGTTGTCGGTGGCACACAGCACTGGCCCCGTCTCTTTTGGATGTGGCCCTTCCTGTGGCTGTCCTATTATCGATCATAGTGATGGCCATTGGAAATCCGCATCATTCCTTGCGTCTCCCCCAAAAGCCTGCCTCGTCAAACTTGAGTTTGTTGATGGTCATGTTCGGAGCATTCTCATTGGATTGAAGAAGCAGAACATGTTGGTTGGCTGCCAGCACTAATGGCGCTGAGATTACACACACCCAACTGCCATGGAGACTACTCGTCGGTCCACTGCCAACGGAAGCAACCGCCAGCACCCCCGTGTTCGAAACTGCTTACGCTCCGATATTGGATCTGAAGTCCGCAGGTAATGTTGTCTCTCTGCTCAAGCTCACCGTCGGTATAGAAGGTAGAAACTGCAAAGAGAGATAGATAGAATCAATAGCTATGGATAGCTACATCCTTGAAGGTTCTTTGCTAGAAGCGGGTTGCTACCGGCGTGTGTTTGGTTTTAAAGTGCAATGCGTGTGTCTTCTCAGCTTAGCAATTGGCAACGGAGGAGGACCAATTTTGGATTCTGGATGACCTGGACAAAGAATTTTCTGAAATTTCTTTATAGAACTGTGCATGTGGGGTCGCATCACCTACTTTTGAATAGAAGCTTTCTCTTTCTTCCAAAGTGCCATGTGATTTGTCGAGAGAGTGGTAATTCCTTCTTTAGTTAACAATGTCGAGAGAGTCGAGTGTCCACGCTGAGAAAGTCCCGCGAGCCTTCCACGCTGTCCTCGGTCCTCGCTGCGTTTCAACATACACAACACTTTCACGATTCGATTCAAACTCAAGCGATTTTCAGGGAAAGAAAGGGCAATCAACTGATCATTCCAACCTCATAATCTGTATGAAAAGCATTCTAAGAATGGCTACACAAACTAACAGGTCGGAGAGAAGAGTCGCTGCGCCAGTGAAATCCGACGCTTTGAGCTTGCATAGAGCTTCTGTGAAGATGAATGCGGATGATGCAATTTGTCAACGGAAGCGGATCAAAATGGACGGAGGAAACAAGCTTGAAATCTTTCGACAAGGCACTCCTGTGTGGCTGGAAAGTTTGACTTCAGATGTTTATGAAGAGGGAATGATAACTGGTGCAGCAGTTCGGCAATCGCCGCTGCAAATAAAACAAGAGGGCGAACACGTCTCCTCCGCTGTTTTCTACTCTGTACTCGCTGGCAAAACTGAGCATCATTATGTAGAGTCAAAGCGGATTGCGGATCGCCGCGTGCCCCAATACCAGGGCGCAGACAAGCAGGAAGCAATATCCACTAAGCAGCGCAGTCTAGTCACCAAGAAAGATGAGCCACCAGCTGCTGATGATTCTTCGCCTCAGAAGTTCCTTGTCCAACCGATGACAACGCCCTTGGAATCTGAATCACTGTGCGCCCTTAAACAAGATAAAGAGAACACTGATTTCATCCAATCCAGTGACGAAACTATCAGGTCTGAAGTTGAACAGGACGGTTTGTTTTCGCCCATCCGCAGGGACATTAAGACCGTTAGCGAACAAGGGGACCAATGCGAGAATGCGGAACCAGTTTCACCCCTCCGAAGGAATTGTACATTCGCGGACTTGTCCCAGCTCAAAGAGAGTCTTTTTACATCTGACGATCCAAACATCAAGTACGGAGTGGAATTGGACGAGGACACGTTTTTGACGGCCGAAGAAGTACACAAGATTGTTCGTGAAATACAGCGCTCTCAACGGCGAAAGCGAAAGCGAAAGGCCTCCGGTCTTGACAAGAAAGCTGTCGTAGGGTCAAAGAACGGTCAAAACAAGCAGATTGGGACTACTGCGAATCACACTTCAGCCCA